AGTGATATTTTTGTAAATGAACATCTCTAAATGGTATTCTTGCAAATTTGCACACAAAAAGTGGCATTTTTATAATTGCCCAAAAAAAAAGTGTTTAGAAAACTTTAGTCATTATATTTTATATTAACAGCATAAGTAGATTTTAACAACAGAAAATACAAAATCACGTTTTCCGCTTATAATATATGTCAAAAACTCAAGAAGGCATTCACACTAATTTTTTTTTTTTGAAATTAATTCACACTTAAATTGCCAATAAGTTTTGCAGAAATTATAAAATTCTATTTTTCTATCCAGAAACACAGGAACACTTTTTTTTCTTGGGGTTAAATTGGGCAATATTGTTTTTTTGTCAAAATACGAAATTTCCTCTTTACAAAAACACACATAATAGTTAATTTTCTTGAAATACGATTGTGCAAAAGATAAAATTTATATAATCAATCATGTGTTTTCTTAATGTATGTAAAAATTCTAGAATATCATCAAATAATTAGAAACGAAGGGAATATTTAATTTTCTTAGATTTTGTTCATCACGAGTCACGAAAATTCTAAAAGATAACTTAATGCTCTGCATTATAACATCCATGAAGTCCACATATAATATGACTACAAAATTAATAAAAATTAAAAGAAAAAAGCCAAATCAAGTTAATATTCCTTGGATTGGAGAATGATTCAATGTTCACATGATCATGACTCCATCAAATGGTTGTACCAAGAGCATGCGCTAAAGAGTATGGCTCATTTGTTGTAAGCACAACGTCAAACCACTCTAGCATCCCCCAAATCTCCCCTTTTTGACGTTTTTCAATCGCAATTTCTGCACACCAGATTCGTATCTCGCCAACGGACCCATACTCTTGCCACAAAATCATCACTTTTCCACCATAATCCGTCAACTTAATAGGAGCACTTCGAGATAACATAGGTGATAATATTTCTAGACCCTTCAAAGCTTTCCATAATTTTTTTTCGGAGTCGTACCAATCGATCCTCCTAAAACTATTATAACGAAAGAACACGTCCTCTACTACACAATGAGAAAATGGGAGACGCCATCCACTATTTATGGCCATGTCTGCCGCTCTCCATCTACCTTTATGCAATTTGTAAGTCACATTCTTTTCATCGGACCTCACATAGACAGTTCCCTTGTACCCGGCGCTTTTGTACTGAAAGCCTTTGCATATCTCCTCGCTAGGGATTTGTAGAAACTCCCAAGTTTGGGTCTTGGTATCAAAAACTTCCATCCAATTCATTGAATCTAGATTGTCGCAGCCTCCTGTTACATATATTTTCCCATCAAGGACACAAGTAGACTGGAACGCACGGGGAACACGCATGCTTGGGGCATTGCACCATTCGTGAGAACGACAATCCATAACCATGACGCTAGACGAAGCACTATCAATGGTATCCTTGATATGTATCAATCCCCCAATAACGTAGATATTTGGACCAACCACTACAACATCCGACCAACCACTAAAATTAGGAGATGGAATCGGTACCAGGACTTTTTTAGAGCTATAAGGTATCTGACCGAGAGTGAACAAACGTAGTTGGTTAGGGTCGCTATAGAGACACAAGCACACATAGAGACAAGTCTCGGTGCGGCCAAAGAGGGTTCGGGTTTGGTAAAGCTCTGTTGAAGCAAGGAGAGAGCAGAATCTCTTGGAGACTAAAGAGAGAGTTGGGTAATACAATCTTGAGACTCGAGCTAAACAATTGAATAACAAATCATCAGGAAGCATCAGAATTGTCATTTGTCTTCTTCTCCTTTTAAAAGGTGCCTCTTCTCCATTCATGGCTTAAAAAGTTTTTAAGCCATGAAGAGCAGAGATTTTGCAAATTATATATCTCCAAGTTCCTTTCCGGACAAGAGCCTTTTTTTTTTCCTTATCTTTCTTGAAATATGATTATTGCACAACTTATTTCATATATATCCACAACTAAGACATCCTTTTTTGTTTTTTCCTATTATCATATTAATCTTTTTCCTTTTATTTTTCGTTCCAAAATCGCATATGTTAGTAGATACATAATCATAAATATTGTGAATGCATCATATAAAAAAATATATAAACATAAGACATTAAGACACAAGTTTAAGACATGTAATTGTGTCCTGTAAAAAAAGTTTCTCATGTATTCACAACCAAACTTAGCTAATTCTTCCACGTTGTCACATGCCAACACCATTATTGATCTTTACATCTACGCAAAAATTTACAAAGGTCGATTTAAGGCAGAAGCAGTTGTTGTTGTGATCATTTTTGTTTCTTAAAGAGTACTCATAATTCTTTAGGCTAATCGGGTGATTAATGAAATCTTTTCTTTGCTGCATAATTTTTTTCAGGTTGATGAAGATAGTGGCACCAAGAGTAATGCAAAAAAAAAGAGGCTTGGGATATTCCCAATTGCTCAAAGAATGAGTGATTCTGTTTCTTGTGACTCAAGAAAGAGTGGTTCTGTTTCTTCATGAAAAGAGTGTTAAAAGATTACAAAAGGAATTCAATTTCTTCCTGGGAGACCAGTATGAACTCAAAACTTAAAACTATTTAGTAGAACAAAAAAAACCCATACACTTGTGATCAATTTGGTTTGTTTGGTAACTATCACATCACTTATGTCACCGGCAACACAACTTTGTCTTTTGCATCAATATACACACTAAATTAAAGAAACTGTAATCACTTGTTTTGTTAATAAGAGAAATAATAGTAAATTCTTGTAAGAAATTGAATCTCAACTAACACAATGTATATCTCTACAATCAAAAATCAAGAACTTTCCTTACTACTTCCTTTTAGAATCTTCTGTACTTCTTCCGGCTGACACGGAATGGTCAGAGGTCCTCTTAGTTGAAACCCGAACTCCTCTTTCGCCTGTTCGAGTAGCCTCATGAATTCAGGTTTGTTCAACTCTTTAAGCTCCAAAACAAACCTCTTAGCTCTCTCTCCTTTAACCGCAACCACTGCCACTTGCCCTTTCTTCACATCTCTGGGAATCATTGTTGCAGCATTACCCTCTTCCTCAAACTCACCACAATTCTCAACCCTTTTGGAGACTCGAGTGAACAAGCAGCAAATTCGTAGCTTTCTCATGAAAAGTTTCAACTTGTTGCACATTCTCAAAACCTGTAAAGAGGAAGCAACAGTAGTAGTAAAGCTCTGGTTTGTG